AAATTGTACTGAAAGAAATTAGAAGTAAACAATGGGAGTAGATGCAAAACAAATTTGAAGTTTACGGACAACTGTACATCCAGGGACAACTAAGGTCAGGTCTGGGGACATATACTCAGCAGCAAAACAAACGTCAGTACGATTTCAAAATTAGATCGGCATTGTAATCAAATCATTACAGAAATGGACATAATAAGCGGATCAAAAACATTTTTGTGTACAATATCCTTACACATCAATGAATAACTCATCACAATTCAAAGACATTACGTGAACGTTTGCAGTCCATTCAGGCTCTTGACTTCAGTATCTAGTGTGACCACCACGAGCGGCAATAACTGCAGCACAGCGTCTACCCATGCATTGCACAATCGATTGATGAAGGCCATTGGCACCTGGAACCACACTCTGAGAAAGGCCTGGCGCAATAAAACGGCTGTGTTCGGCCTTGGTATGACATTATTCAGTCTCCTCTGAATTTCATCCCAAAGATGTTCAATTGGGTTTAAATCAGGACTAAGGGCCGGCCACTGCATAATGTTGACACCGTTCTGCTGTAGGAAGTCCCGTGTAGCTCTGGCAGTATGGGCCCAGGCGTTATCATGCTGGAAAATGTTGTTCCGGTGATGTGCGAAATGTGGTATGATGTGGGGTCAGAGCTTGGTCGATGTAGCGCACCGCTGTGATGCCGCATCCTCTCCCTGGACCCAGGTTCTGGAACACAACAGGACCCACTCTCTGGTTCTGGCCTATTCCACCCCATACCATGATGCTTGCACCTCCCCATGAGTCTCTTTCCATAACACATTGGTCTGAGTAACACTGGCCATGTCGTCGCCATGTTCTTGTTCTGCCATCTGCAGTTGATACGCAGTACCGACTCTCATCTGTGAACAGAACATTTCTCCTTTGCCTGTATCGCCAGGTTTGGTGTTGTAGGGCAAACTATAGACGTTCACGCCGATGACGAGGGGTGAGGATAGGTCCACGGTAAGGTCTACGGCAATGGAGCTTCCCGTTGTTAAGACGTCGGCGTACTGTATGAGTACTGATTGGTCTTCCGTGTGTTCCCACTGTCTGGCATGCTGTTTTGGATGCCTGCATGAAGGGATTCTGTACATGCTGTCGCACAACATGGCGGTCTTGTCGTCTTGTGGTCACCCTTGGTCTGCCAGTATGGGGGTGATCATTTGTGGTGTTGGTGGCCCGGAAACGTTGCTGCAGCCTGTAGATGGTCCGAATGTTGACTTGGAAGTGATTGACAACGGCTTGTGCAGTGTGGCCAGCTTCAGGTCGCCCTAGCCTGGCGCCTGGTTCCTCTGAGCTGTCATGAGTCACAGGTTGCGTTTTTGAGCATCCTGCTGTCGTTTGTAATGTGAAATGTTTCAATCCAGGTTTGGGGTGCATTTTATAGGGCTGGTCCTTGTGAACAGCACATGCAGCATGAGTTGCATGAAAAACATGGAGAACATCGTACCATCTCCGAGATCAGGTTGCGTTTTTGAGACCATTTCCTGAGTTCAAGTCTGAGTTTGGGAAGGAATGTCTTTGCTCAGGTAAAGTTGGAAATGTTGTCAAAAATATACAATCAAAACATTAATGAGTTCACAGTTATCCGTATCCGCGAAGGAAAATTCCAAACTGATGTTTCTTTTGCTGCTTAGTATATATGGAAATACTTTCATCAAGGGACAACACAAGTCTAGTCTGGAGACATATATGGATGACCTTTCATCAAGGGACAACCAAGGTCAAGTCTGGAGACATATATGGATGACCTTTCATCAAGGGACAACACAAGGTCAAGTCTGGAGACATATATGGATGACCTTTCATCAAGGGACAACTGAAGTCAAGTCTGGAGACATATATGGATGACCTTTCATCAAGGGACAACTAAGGTCAAGTCTGGAGACATATATGGATGACCTTTCATCATGGGACAACTGAAGTCAAGTCTGGAGACCTACCTGCACTGAATCTCCTTGTTAGAAGAGAGACTGGTAGCCAGTCTAAAGGCACACTTGGCTGCATAGCTCAGAGAACAGATGGCTGCAAAATATAAGAAACAGTGCTAGAGTTGGAACATAAGTTTCAGAAGTCCTTAACATTATGGATGTTTTGTCAGTTAATGTTAAAGCCCTAACAGCTGGTCTTTAATGGAACATCTACACACTGAAAATAGATCACACATCTGGAAGCCTAAACATTCCATACAATCACCAGTGTCCCAGGTGGCACAGTTGGCCAGTAATAGATACAGAGGTTGACAGTGTGACCAATGATCTTCATGATCACCAGTGTCACAGCTGTCCAGTAATAGATACAGAGGTTGACAGTGTGACCAATGATCTTCATGATCACCAGTGTCACAGCTGTCCAGTAATAGATACAGAGGTTGATAGTGTGACCAATGATCTTCATGATCACCTGTGGCACAGTTGGCCAGTAATAGATACAGAGGTTGATAGTGTGACCATTGATCTTCATGATCACCAGTGTCACAGCAGGTCAGTAATAGATAGAGGTTGATAGTGTGACCAATTATCTTCATGATCACCAGTGTTCCAGCTTTCACAGTAAGCCAGTGACCAAAAATATTCATCATCATATTGTCGAATAATTTTGGATGATGATGATGATGCAATAAAGTAGACGCAATATTTTCACCCCGAACAGTCTGTATCACATCATCTAAATGTTTTGTTTATACAATATGTCACAACCATTGGGAATCAAATCGTCATAAAAGTTACCTTGGAAGAATCAGTGACAGCTGAGAAACGTTTCTGTCCCACAATTCCCTGACTTACGTTTGATGGGCCCCTCCGCCTTGACATTGCACAGCGACCCTGTGCAGCAGTACGTGCAGACGCCATCGATGCACCCAGATGTACAGTTGTTTTCGGCCACACAACTCTTGGACAAGGATGTGATCACTCTAGATTCGTCATGTCTAACTCTTGTCATGCATACCTGTACAAGATGACACTTTGTTAAAGATCTCTCCAAAAAGTCAGGATGAGCTTAACTGTGGCATGGCCAAATAAGAATATACATCTTTCTAACCAACAATAGGAAAGGCTGGTTATTTCTTACTTTTTTCACCTAATGTTTTCTTCTATTTTATGACTTGATTATCTGAAGTAAAGTTAACAATTGACACTTACATAAGGTAAGGAAAGAATCAGGATGTGATAAAACCCACAGAAAAACTCAAAAGATATTCAGAGACCTGTTTTTATAAGCAAAGCCTAACTTTGTAAAGTATTGGCAGTGTGTTAATGTACAAGGTTGTGTGTGTCAAGGTATACTCTTTATGTGTGTGACCGTACAACATTGTGTGTGTCAAGGTATACTGTACATGTGTGAGACCGTACAACATTGTGTGTGTCAAGGTATACTGTACGTGTGAGACCGTACAACATTGTGTGTGTCGAGGTATACTGTACGTGTGAGACCATACAACATTGTGTGTCAAGGTATACTGTACGTGTGAGACCGTACAACATTGTGTGTGTCAAGGTATACTGTACGTGTGAGACCGTACAACATTGTGTGTGTCAAGGTATACCGTGCATGTGTGTGACCGTACAACATTGTGTGTGTCAAGGTATACTGTACATGTGTGTGACCGCACAACATTGTGTGTGTGTCAAGGTATACTCTGTACATGTGTGTGACCATTACAACATTGTGTGTGTCAAGGTATACTGTACATGCGATGTGACCATACAACATTGTGTGTCAAGGTATACTGTACATGTGTGTGACCGTACAACATTGTGTGTGTCAATGTATACTGTACATGTGTGTGACCGTGCAACATTGTGTGTATCAAGGTATACTATGTATGTATGTGACCATACAACATTGTTTGTGTCAAGGTATACTGTACATGTGTGTGACCGCGCAACATTGTGTGTGTCAAGGTATACAGTACATGTGTGTGACCATACAACATTGTGTGTGTCAAGGTATACTGTACATGTGTGTGACCGTACAACATTGTGTGTGTCAAGGTATACTGTACATGTGTGTGACCGTGCAACATTGTGTGTGTCAAGGTATACTGTACATGTGTGTGACCGTGCAACATTGTGTGTGTCAAGGTATACTGTGCATGTGTGTGACCATATAAACCCTAAATGTATAAGTACTACATTGAATGTGTCAAGGTGTGGGTGTTCAGACGAGTGTAGGTGCACCTGCATGTTTTTGTGTACTTACAGACTGCGTACACTCCTCCATGTTCAGGTTACATGCGTCGTTGGTGAGAGCGCTGTCACAGGTGTAGCAACGGGGGGGTTCCTCTTTGGCTGTAACAGTTACACGAAGTTAGCAATAACCTATCACAACCTGAAATCATGTAGGACTGATCTTACCTTGTATGAATAAATAATAGCCATGAAACACAGAGAGACCCACCTCTTGACAACGGTACAAGAATCTGTTATCGAAACGTCACACTCACGAAATATAAGAAGTAGTTATCCATCAAGTTTGTTCATATAATTCCCATTCAAACCAATAAAGCCAATTATCCTAACTCTGATGTACTACACCAACATTGCTCGCTGCTCGAAAAGTGTAAATATTACCGGTAATGGATTCACAGAACATATTTTCCTCCACTCACCATCACACATCTTCAGAGCAATCTCGTACAGTCCTGATACCGTCTGGAACAAGATGGTCGCCCTGCTGTCTGTCTTATCCTTGAGCTCATGCTCCACACAGCTCCAGGCCACACGCGCCTCTGCACAGAGCTTCTCCAGGCGGGTCTTGTAAAGTACCTTCTTCGAACTGTGGCTCTTCTTTCCAGCTTCCTTGCTATTCTTTCCAGATTCCTTGCTATTCTTTCCAGATTCCTTGCTATTCTTTCCAGTTTCTTTTCCGGTCTCCTTGCTATTCTTTCCAGCTTCCTTGCTATTCTTTCCAGCTTCTTTGCGTATTCTTTCCAGTTTCTTTTCCGGTTTCCTTGCTATTCTTTCCAGCTTCCTTGCTATTCTTTCCAGTTTCTTTTCCGGTTTCCTTGCTATTCTTTCCAGCTTCCTTGCTATTCTTTCCAGCTTCTTTGCTACTCTTTCCAGCTTCTTTGCTATTCTTTCCAGCTTCTTTGCTATTCTTTGCACCAGTTGCTATTCTTACCTTCCTTGCTATTCTTTCCACTCTCCTTGCTATTCTTTCCACTCTCCTTGCTATTCTTTCCACTCTCCTTGCTATTCTTATCTTTAACACACTGCCAAGACTTCTTGCTATCATCATTCCCAGATTCACGAGATCCCTTTTGCTCTTCTACCAGTTTGAGCTTGGCGCCATCACTACACTCTGGAACACAGGTCCAGTTGGTGAACCCCAGGACTGTGCCGTCATCTACGTCAGCTGCTCGGGGCCGTGCCACAAACCCATTGTCACATGTGATGCTGAGTCGGCATTCTTCCAGCTTAAGGCTGTCAGGAGCTGTCATGCCAGGGATTAGACATCTTGTGTTGCTGGCATTCTTGGGGTCGTAGCTGATGATGTCCTCCATGCGTTTGCGGAGGATGTCGACACAGTTCTGAGTGGTGTCCACTTTCCTGCATCTCTCGGCCTCCATGAATCGAACCACCTTGCTCAGCTGATAGTCAAGGGTGAACTTGACATTGCTGTCACACTCCTTCATGTACTCTGAGATGCAAGTCTCAGCCTGTTGTACCTTCCTGGAATGAGTGAGTGAGTGAATGAGAGAGTGAATGAGTGTGAGTGAGTGAGTGTGAAAGTGAGTGAGTGAGTGTTTACATCATGGTGATCTGTTGATAATCAAGAATTCACAGAATGACACCATGAGATGGAATGCAATAATTAGCAACATGGAGTCAGTGACTGATCTAATCCCTTGTCATCTCTTACGACGAACATGGGTTGCTGAAGGCCAACTCTAGCAAAGAGGGAAGAGTGAGTGAGTCAAGCTTCACGCCACACTCAGCAATATCCCAGCTATATGGCAGTGGTCTGTAAATAATCAACTGTAGACCAGACAATCCAGTGATCAACAGCATGAGGGGAAGAGAGGGAATGGAGGTTAATGCAACTGTTTCTAACTAAAGGTCTAGCAAATTAACCATTTTGTCATTATTTTCATATAAAATCATGGCCTTTCATTTAATGGATTCAAGCATGTTTGAATAGCTGCAAATTAGCTGAAGCAATATTTGTTACTCAAGCATTTTCAACTCTCACAGAAGGTGAATCATGAAGGGAGAATCATGAAGGGAGAATCATGAAGGGAGAACACGGTATACTTACTGATTCTTATTTACATAAGATGAGGGGTACTGTAATCTACTTCTAGCTGAGAGAAGTCCTCAGATAAACTATTCACATTCATCTGAAGTCCTCCCATAATCCACTCACAGGTAATCTACTCACAGGTGAAGATCCCATAGTCTACTCACATACACCTGAAGGCCCCATAATCTACTCACATACACCTGAAGGCCCATAATCTACTCACAGACAGGTGATGCCCCCATAATCTAGTCACAGACAGTGAAATCCCCCCTAAATCCACTCACAGACAGGTGAACCCCCCCATAATCTACTCACAGACAGGTGAAGCCCTCCAATAATCTACTTACAGACAGGTGAAGTCCTCCCAGTTTTCTGAAGAGTCTTGGAGTGCAGCAAATGTCTTGAGATTCTCAATACAGGTGAGAGCCTTCGTCACCTTACACATGCCCTCTGGGGGCCGTCTGCAGGTGTCCACGATGTCCCGGTTGAGTCGCTCCACAATGTAATGAACTGTGTCCTTCTCGCACTCCTCACAGGTTTCCGTGAAGCTCCTCATGCACTCCATCGACGAGTTAACTTTCCTGACAAGCACAACAGCGTGTAAGTCAGTGAGTGAGAGAGTGATGCAATATTTAGCATCTAGTAAATACAGCCAAACACATAGCATATATTCCTAATAGTGAGTGAGTGAGTTTAGTTTTACGCTGCACTCTGCAATATTCCAGCTTTATGGCGTCGGTCTGTAAATAATCGAGTCAGGACCAGACAATCCAGTGATCAACAGCATGAGCATCGATCTATGCAACTGGGATACGATGACATGTGTCAACCGAGTCTGACCACCCAATCTCGTTAGTCGCCTCTCAAGACAAGCATGGGTTGCTGAAGACCAATTCTAAACCGGATCGTCACGGGTCTATTCTAATATAGGACATTTCAAATTAGTGTGATAACCACTTTATTGTATAATGTCACTGTTAACAAAATGTGACAAACATATATACTACCCATCAATAGTTTAGACTCACTAGTGTAAATGTAGCCACTTTCTTCAGTCAACTGTTCTAAACTAGATTTTGCAAAAATATTCCATACTGTTTAATGGTACTGTTTACACATGAACTGATGTATTGTAAAACAAATTCATAACGTTGAAAAGATTATTGTCATGAGTTCAATAAATGATGAAACTCAGTGAAAATTGGCGAATTCTTAACAAAACTTTACACCAAAACGCAGCTGTTCACATGCACAATATTTGCACATGCTTTTCAGCAATTTGATGCATGATCCTCATGCAATTCACCTGCATAAGGTTTGCAGTTGGTTCCCCAAGTTACGGGAGAAATTCATCTTCGATGTAACCACATATATATACATAACATATAGTGAATGCTTTAAGTGAGTCTAAACATTTGATGGGTAGTATATATCATCCATTACAAATATTACCTGAATATTGCAAGCTTTTCTGGAATGCAAACATTAACATATTTCACCACAAAGGTGCATCCCTAACCCCTCCAGTGTATGAAGCACATATAAATGGCCAGTATGTAGTAAGACATGGAACTGATTCATTGTGCGACAAGTACTAAACAAAAACAAACAATTTAATGACATATTCTGCATATTTTTAGTATAACACATGCAGATTGTTTCACAAATAATTACCTGCTTTCAAGTCCCTTCTTTTCAAAAACATTCCTCCTTAAAATAAATTGTGTGCCCTCAACGCTTACGTTTCAAGGAAGCTATATCCATGTTGGAACCAATACGCTCTAGCAGTCCATTGCAGGTACTTACTTGCAGATTCCTTCCCAGTCTGGGGCGGGCATCTTGGCCAGGTGATGGATATCCAGGACGCACATGACAGCGCCGGCGGGGTCACAGCTCTTCGACTGAGCCTTCACACAACAGTCCTTAGCAGTCAGCTTCTGTAGAACTGTCACCACTGTGTGGAGCCTCCTCTTGATAACCTCAGGACACTGGCTGGTTTGTACACGGATGCAGTCCTTGGCTGAACTCACCGCTCTGTGGACAGACAGGTTACATAACTACACTGGTCTCGACACACTAATAGAAGAAGTATTTCTGAAAATAAGTGGCTAAAATGATGGCTGTAGCATTAAGGTGATCACAAACGCCGGATTTCAACATCGATGTACAATAATTGTAGCGCTAAGGTGATTGCAAGCTCCATACTTCAACACAAATTTTCGATAGTCATAGAGTTGAGAAACTTGTAACACTATCCTTAAACACAGATTTATGACAGTCATAGCATTGAGAAAATTGTAATCTCCATATTTCAACATTGATTTCCGATAGTTGTAGTGTTAAGGTGATCGCAACACCCATATTTCATCACTGGTTTTACGATAGTCGAAGCATTATGGAAACTGTAGCCGCCATAATTCAACATTCATTTACGATAGTCATAATGTTAAGGTGATTGTAACCCCATATTGCAACACTGATTTACTATAATCGTAGCATTATGGAGACTGTAACTCCCATATTTCAACACTGATTTATGATAGTTGTAGTGTTAGGGTGATCGTAACCGCCCTATTTAAACATTGATTTATGAAAGTTGTAGTGTTAGGGTGATCGTGAACCGCCCTATTTCAACATTGATTTACGATAGTTGTAGTGTTAGGGTGATCGTAACCCATAATTTCAACACTGATTTATGATAGTTGTAGTGTTAGGGTGATTGTAACCGCCATATTTCAACATTGATTTATGAAAGTTGTAGTGTTAGGGTGATCGTAACCGCCCTATTTCAACATTGATTTATGATAGTTGTAGTGTTAGGGTGATCGTAATCACCTATTTAAACATTGATTTATGAAAGCTGTAGTGTTAGGGTGATTGTAACCTACCTATTTCAACATTGATTTATGATAGTTGTAGTGTTAGGGTGATCGTAACCCCTATTTCAACATTTCAACATTGATTTATGATAGTTGTAGTGTTAGGGTGATTGTAACCGCCCTATTTCAACATTGATTTATGATAGTTGTAGTGTTAGGGTGATCGTAACCCCCTATTTCAACATTGATTTATGATAGTTGTAGTGTTAGGGTGATCGATTTCAACATTGATTTATGAAAGCTGTAGTGTTAGGGTGATTGTAACCGCATATTTCAACACTGATTTATGATAGTTGTAGTGTTAGGGTGATTGTAACCGCCATATTTCAACATTGATTTACGATAGTTGTAGTGTTAGGGTGATCGTAACCCATAATTTCAACACTGATTTATGATAGTTGTAGTGTTAGGGTGATTGTAACCGCCATATTTCAACATTGATTTATGAAAGTTGTAGTGTTAGGGTGATCGTAACCGCCCTATTTCAACATTGATTTATGATAGTTGTAGTGTTAGGGTGATCGTAACCGCCCTATTTAAACATTGATTTATGATAGTTGTAGTGTTAGGGTGATCGTAACCGCCCTATTTAAACATTGATTTATGAAAGCTGTAGTGTTAGGGTGATCGTAACCGCCCTATTTCAACATTGATTTACGATAGTTGTAGTGTTAGTGTGATCGTCACCCATAATTTCAACACTGATTTATGATAGTTGTAGTGTTAGGGTGATTGTAACCGCCCTATTTCAACATTGATTTATGATAGTTGTAGTGTTAGGGTGATCTTAACCCATAATTTCAACACTGATTTATGATAGTTGTAGTGTTAGGGTGATTGTAACTGCCATATTTCAACATTGATTTACGATAGTTGTAGTGTTAGGGTGATCGTAACCGCCGTATTTCAACATTGATTTACGATAGTCGTTGCTTATGATGACTACGTGGAACTAAGGTTGCTATGCAGCGAGTGGACCAACAATGTTTACACGATCTCCTTCCACAAAACATATGTAGTACTTAGTAAGTGTATGTGAGAGTTGTGGAGTTACATCATCTTAGCAATAAGATCAGTATGTGGAGCAGAGACCAGGGCCTCCTTTCACAAAGCACTAAGGTGATCTTAAGTCACTAAGGTAACCTTAGTGCAATGTTAAAGAATGGGAGTTAAGGTTAACCTTAGTAAAGGTTGCTTCATGAAAGGAGCCCCAGGTCTTTATGATGATGTCACTACCGGTTGTGTACTTTACAATCACCATGTGCACTCAAAATAACCCACTCATCTGACGTAGATGACCAGATGGTGAAAACAAATTTATCATCCCAAAATGACTCCCACAGTAGATATCGCTTGTGTGGGATCATTGTAGATATTGCAACAATTGAATTGTCATAATGCTATTACATAGTCACTTAATGACGTCACAATGCTTTGAAATCACTAAGAACACAGCTGACAGTGCTATGACATTGCAAAGTTGATGACGCCACAAGGCTATGACCTCACTGGGATCACTGCTCGAGAAGCCTAATGGCAGTTTTGTGTTCAGAAAAATTCATTCTTTCACTAATAAGTGATGAAGAATGATTTTGGATGATAAATATAATCTCACCGTTGTGTCTTCTGATATCAAATATATGAACACTCGTTGATTAAAGTAAAAATATCTTTGGCAAGCCTCAGATATTTGTAACTTTAATCAACTCATGTTGATATATTTGATATCAAAAGACACTTGGTTGAGATTCTCTATGTCTAATCTAAGACATGAGAGTCAAAAACATATCATACATAAGAGGACTAAGGCGACCAGTTGTATACCCAAATTACCAGGGTCTTCAATCATGCCAAGATACACCTGGAAATCAGATGTTTACACCGTTTAAAGTAAGTTTAGTTAACTCTGACTTAGCTAACAGAAAGGGTCAATATTTTCACAAATCGGTGATTCGAACCCATTACCATCAAAGTCTTGCACAGCTGAAGGTTCTGTTCTGTACAGGTAACTGTGACATACCTTGAACATCTTGTACATACCCACAAAGGCGACCATCTCCGCCAAAAACCCTGGTGGCCAGATTGTTGACGCACTCTGTTGCCATGGCGACATTGCAGCCCTTGATGACTTCTTCAGGTGTGGCTAAGCTGCACAAATTTCTGTAAGACTGAAGAATGGATGACTTGGCTGAGCTGAATTTCCTGCTGCTTTCTTCATTATCACCACAGGCAACATCCTCAAGACATGTAGAACTGAGAGAGTTACGCCTGCTTTCCCTGGATCAACAAAAACAAGAAACAGGTCATCATCACATTAAACGTCAGCGAGAGAGAGGAGAGAGAGAGAGAGAGAGAGAGAGGAGAGAGAGAGAAAAGAGAGAGAGTGAGAGTTATCACTGTTCTGAACAATAATCCAGTTATATCACAGTGGCTGTGTTTGATTGTGTGGGAGAGATGGATTTATCACTATTTTATTCTGAACAATATTCCAGTCATATCACAGTGGCTGTGTTTGATTGTGTGGGAGAGATGGATTTATCACTATTTTATTCTGAACAATATTCCAGTCATATCACAGTGGCTGTGTTTGATTGTGTGGGAGAGATGGATTTATCACTGCTTTATTCTGAACAATATTCCAGTCATATCACAGTGGCTGTGTTTGATTGTGTGGGAGAGATGGATTTATCACTATTTTATTCTGAACAATATTCCAGTCATATCACAGTGGCTGTGTTTGATTGTGTGGGAGAGATGGATTTATCACTGCTTTATTCTGAACAATATTCCAGTCATATCACAGTGGCTGTGTTTGATTGTGTGGGAGAGATGGATTTATCACTATTCTGACCAATATTCCAGTCATATCACAGTGGCTGTGTTTGATTGGGAGGAAAGTCTGATGCAGGGATTTACCTTGATTCCTGTATTTGAGGGTCCCTGGGACTCATTCTCTTAATTTTCAGGGGTCCTCGACTACAAAATGGGGGTTCCACACACGTAAATGTTATTATTAATACTATTACTATGTTGCTATATTGATTTAATTCAGTTACTGTTATTGTTTTGTGTATCATGATCATCACATAAATAAATTACAAATAATACCATAACTCAGCTCGTAGCAAACTTGGTGATAACTTATTATTGATTGGAATCTTTACAAAGAGGATTTGGACTTTTTCGGATCCTTGTGAACGTGTTAATAAATTTCATTGTGTCCATTGTCAAGTTTTATGAGCATAGGACGCGGGAATTCATGTCCGGTAAATCCCTGCTGATGTGATGCAGGTCTAAGACATCAACTGATTTGACGACACACAACAGATGCAAACAACAGCAGATGCAAGGTGCTGACAAATCAGGATTAAAACCCACATTAGAATTTTGAAAATCTTCAAAAGCATTTAGAAGTTGGTGTAGTAATACAAGACAAACATTATGGATAACAACTTCTATATTCGTTTACCACAAAGTGTCTGGGCTAGTTCTTGCCCTTTCTTCAGGTGGATAAGTGAACAGTACAGTACATATTTATATATTGACATGCAGAAGGCAGAGATGTAATTAAGTACATACAAACACAAATTGTATGTACGAACAATAAATGAGATAAAGAGAAGAATGCACTGACTGGGCATGTTTTTACAACGAGGACAAGGATGTGTTTGTGTTTGAACTAGCCCAGAAACGTCTTGATAAACAAATAAAGAAGTTGTTATCCATAATATTTGTCTTGTATTACAAGAATGTTGATAAATTTCATAAAATCATCATGACACCCATGTTCGTACAATAATCTCTAAATACATGCATGAAGCTGTGCTGGTCTTAAGCAACTAAATGAACTGGACTCTGTGACTTGATGGTATATCAGTATAGGTGTATGCAACTTATTTTGGCTCATACTATCATCACTGGATTGTCTAGTCCAACCTCAATCACTTACATTATACAGGGTTCCTAGGTACCTGATCTAACCTGGAATCTCAGTAGGTTCTGATTCAGTGATTAGCAACGTGTGGATGGATTCAGCCTCCAGTCACCGACACGACTTCAGTTTAGTTACACAATACTTACGAACATGTACTGATTCCACGACTGGTTGGCCAATCTTCATCAAGAATTCCGGCAAACATGCTAGTGAAGCAAGTCGTATAATTTACTCCTTGAACACAGTCAGTTTCATCTGAAACAATACGACGAGGCAGAGGAATTAGTTGTCAGTGAACAGGTGCTTGAACAAAGTAGATGTTGGGGAAGTGGTTGTATGAGAAAGTTGGTGAGTGTATAGCCGTGTTTATAGGTGAATGGTTGAGTGGGTAACTGAATGGGTGTGTGAGTGGGGGGTGAATGGTTGAGTTGGTAAGTGAATGGTTGATTCGGTGGATGAATGTTTGAGTGGATAAGTGAATGGTTGAGTGGGTGGGTGGGTGGGTGAATGGGTGCGGGAAGTGGGTGAAAGGATGAGTGGGTGGGGAATGGGTGGGATAAATGAATGTCTGTGAGTGGGTGGGTGGGTGAATCGGTCTGTAAGTGGGTGAAAGGGTGAGTGGGTTGAATGGTTGAGTGGGTTGGTGAATGGTTGAGTGGGTAAGTGAATGGTTGAGTGGGTAAGTGAATGGTTGAGTGGGTAAGTGAATGGTTGAGTCGGTGGGTGAATGGGTGGGTGAATGGGTGAATGAGTGGGTGAATGGTTGAGAGGGTGGGTTAATGATGACTGGGTCAGTGGGTGGGGGATTATTTTGGTGAATGGCAGGGTGGGTGGGTGTTGATGATAATTGGGGAATCAGATGGGTGAATGGTTTATGTATGGGGGAGCTGATGATGAAAGAGTGAGTGGTCCATTAGTGGTCATTTGGTTCATATTGTGTGGGTGACTTGGATGTCCATGTAGAGTAGGTGGATGGGAAGCTGGATGTGCACATTCACATGGAGTGGGTTGATGAGAGACTGGTCATGGACGTTCACGTGGAGTGGGTGGATGAGAGACTGGTCATGGACGTTCACGTGGAGTGGGTGGATGAGAGACTGGTCATGGACGTTCACGTGGAGTAGGTGGATGAGAGACTGGTCATGGACGTTCACGTGGAGAGGGTGGATGAGAGACTGGTCATGGACGTTCCGTGGACGCGTGGAGAGGGTGGATGAGAGACTGGTCATGGACGTTCACGTGGAGAGGGTGGATGAGAGACTGGTCATGGACGTTCACGTGGAGAGGGTGGATGAGAGACTGGTCATGGACGTTCACGTGGAGTGGGTGGATGAGAGACTGGTCATGGACGTTCACGTGGAGAGGGTGGATGAGAGACTGGTCATGGACATTCACGTGGAGTGGGTGGATGAGAGACTGGTCATGGACTTGAGGGTGGATGAGAGACTGGTCATAGACATTTATGTGGGGTGGATGAGAGACTGGTCATGGACTTTGGAGTGGAGTGGATGAGAGACTGGTCATGGACGTTCCGCGTGGAGTGGGTGGATGAGAGATTGGACATGGACATTCACGTGGAGGGATGGATGAGAGACTGGCCATGGACATTCACGTGGAGTGGGTGGATGAGAGACTGGTCATGGACGTTCACGTGGAGTGGGTGGATGAGAGATTGGACATGGACATTCACGTGGAGGGGATGGATGAGAGACTGGCCATAGACATTTATGTGGGGTGGGTGGATGAGAGACTGGACATTGACGTTCACGTGGAGAGGGTGGATGAGAGACTGGGCATGGACATTCACATGGAGAGGGTGGATGAGAGATTGGACATGGACTTTCACATGGAGTGGGTGGATGAGAGATTGGTCATGGATGTTCACGTGGAGAGGGTGGATGAGAGACTGGTCATGGACTTTCACATTGAGTGGGTGGATGAGAGACTGGTCATAGACGTTCATGTGGAGTGGGTGGATGAGAGATTGGACATGGACTTTCACATGGAGTGGGTGGATGAAAGATTGGACATGGACGTTCACATGGAGTGGGTGGATGAGAGATTGGACATGGACGTTCACGTGGGGTGGGTGGATGAGAGACTGGACATGGACGTTCACGTGGAGTGGGTGGATGAGAGATTGGACATGGACATTTACGTGGGGTGGGTGGATGAGAGATTGTCATAGACGTTCACGTGGAGTGGGTGGATGAGAGATTGGATGTGGACGTTGACGTGGAGTGGGAGGATGAGAGATTGGACATGGACGTTGACGTGGAGTGGGTGGATGAGAGATTGGACATGGACATTTACGTGGGGTGGGTGGATGAGAGACTGTCATAGACGTTCATGTGGAGTGGGTGGATGAGAGATTGGACATGGATGTTTACGTGGGGTGGGTGGATGAGAGACTGGGCATGGACGTTCACGTGGAGTTGGTGGATGAGAGATTGGACATGGACATTTACGTGGGGTGGGTGGATGAGAGATTGTCATAGATGTTGACGTGGAGTGGGTGGATGAGAGATTGGATGTGGACGTTGACGTGGAGTGGCTGGATGAGAGACTGGACATGGACGTTGACGTGGAGTGGGTGGATGAGGATGTGGATGGACGTTGACGTTGGATGGATGAGACGTCATAGAGCGTTCACATGGAGTGGGTGGATGAGAGATTGGATGTGGACGTTGACGTGGACGTTTACGTGGAGTGGGTGGATGAGAGATTGGACATGGACGTTCATGGGGAGTGGGTGGATGAGAGACTGGATGTGGATGTTCACATGAAGTGGGTGGAAAGGAGACTGGATGTGGACGTTGACGTGGAGTGGGTGGATGATGGACTATACATGGACGATGAGAGATTTGACATGGACGTTTACGTCGGGTGGGTGGATGAGAGACTGGTCATGGACGTTCAAGTGGAGTGGGTGGATGAGAGACTGGTCATGGACGTTTACGTGGGGTGGGTGGATGAGAGACTGGTCATGGACGTTTACGTGGAGTGGGTGGATGAGAGATTGGACATGGACGTTCATGGGGAGTGGGTGGATGAGAGACTGGATGTGGATGTTCACATGAAGTGGGTGGATAAGAGACTGGATGTGGACGTTGACGTGGAGTGGATGGATGAGAGACTATACATGGACATTGATGTGGAGTGGGTGGATGAGAGACTATACATGGACCACGAGAGATTTGACATGGACGTTTATGTGGGGTAGGTGGATGAGAGACTGTCATAGACGTTCACGTGGAGTGGATGGATGAGAGACTGGATGTGGACATTGACCTGGAGTGGGTGGATGAGAGACTGGATGTGGACATTGACTTGGAGTGGGTGGATGAGAGATTGGACATGGACGTTCACATGGAGTGGGTGGATGAGAGACTGGTCATAGACGTTTACGTGGGGTGGGTGGATGAGAGACTGGACATGGACGTTTACGTGGAGTGGGTGGATGAGAGATTGTACATGGACGTTGACGTGGAGTGGGTGGATGAGAGACTGGTCATAGACGTTTACGTGGGGTGGGTGGATGAGAGACTGGTCATGGACGTTCACGTGGAGAGGGTGGATGAGAGACTGGTCATAGACGTTTACGTGGGGTGGATGGATGAGAGATTGGACATGGATGTTCACGTGGAGAGGGTGGATGAGAGACTGGTCATAGACATTTACGTGGAGTGGGTGGATGGATGAGAGATTGGACATGGACGTTCACGGGGAGTGGGTGGATGAGAGATTGGACATGGACGTTTACCTGGGGTGGGTGGATGAGAGATTGGACATGGACGTTCACGGGGAGTGGGTGGATGAGACTGGATGTGGATGTTCACATGAAGTGGGGGATGAGAGACTGGATGTGGATGTGACGTGGAGTGGGTGGATGAGAGACTGGATGTGGACGTTGACGTGGAGTGGGTGGATGAGAGACTAGACATAGACGTTCACGTCGAGTGGGTGGATGGGAGACTGGACGTGGACGTTCACATGGAGTGGGTGGATGATGAGTGAGTGAGTGAGTGAGTGAATGAGTGTTAGCACCGACAATAAAGGGATGGTTGCATTACCTTGTGTTGTAAGTTTCTACGCTTTCAAAATGAGTGATAGCACCTAGCCAGCATTCACTATATATAGACTAGCCAGTGAGAAAGCAACAACTGTATTTAGTGAGGAAATATAATTTATCAATATTCAGAGATTGTTTTCAGAAGTTGTTTAGTACTTTGAGTGAACCTATTTTCAGAGTAAGCTGAACCTCAGAATCATATCAAAGCAAGACAAAAAGTGTGAGCAAGTCTCACTAATACCCTGACTGTAATGCCCAACTTCAGCTGAACAACAATTACAATTTTATTCTATACAAAAGATCTGTATCAAGCAGAGATGTAGTTTGTGATTCATTTCTTGATGAAGAAAAAATATCAAAATAAAACTTGGCACCGCACCTCTCCTATAGATATGGAGAGTATACCTACTTTAAAAAACATCCATTCAAATGTATCCAATCTGTTGGTTTAACAATTCCCTCGAGATTTATTTAAGTTCAAAATATGTAAACTGACACAACTATATGAGTAGAAAACCGGAATCAAACTTTGCACTTAAGCTTCCCTTTAGACAAAGAAGGTGGTCTCTAAATTTGAAAAAAATCCAAGGTATTTTCAAGTTATTGGTTAACAGAAAATGTCTTAAGATGAACCGACTGTATTCCTCGGTATAACAAAGCAGCCCTGGCCATTCTAGGTCAGGGTATAAACAGATCTTTGTCCTCAGTATTGCCGTAGCTGAGTCTGAGGACATCCCCATACCGGTCACATCTGAAGGTCATTTGACATCAGCCAATCAGAAAGCATATTACTTAAGCCTTAGGGCACTAGAGGTGCTTGACACCAATCACTTCCATGCTTTGAAAAATGCCCTCACAGTTTTCTCTCCCAAAATATGGAAACTGGACAAAATTCTGGAATGCCAATTGATGGTTGAGATTGTACAGCAGTTTAGGCCAGGGAAGGTGTTTTCTGTTTCAAATGGTTTTGTCATAGAAATGAGAGACCATTCCGAGAGTCAGTTTTAATGTCACGACCGATGTCTGGAATGCCTCTAGTTTACTTTTTCAAGGTTGCATGACTGGAAAACACATTCACTTTCCCTATCTGCTAGTAGGTCTCTGATGGGTCAGAGGAAGGACATTCTGACGTGATCTGTAACTGTCCTCAGATCTGTGCAGCGACGAGGCGCACTAAGATCTGATTTTAATGACACTGGTTTTGAGAGCTTTTATGAGAAAGATATAGTGAGCAAGTGTAGATTGACGCCGCTTTTAGCAATATTCCAGCAATATCAATGGGCTTCACACATTGTACCCATGTAGGGAATTGAACCTGGGTCTTCAACAAGACGAGCGAAGGCTATAACCACTGGGCTACCCCACAGCCCAGAGAAAGATGTAAGTATCACAGTTGTTGTCACGTCTGAAAACCTTACCACCTATGATGGACACATGGGAACTGGCCCCGATTTCTCGAAACAAACTGAAGTCTGAGTTTGACTTAAGTTCGAGTTTGTACTCAAATTTGAGAAAACGCAGGAAAATGCATTACCCAAATGAACTGAAATCGGTATTAAACTCAAACATAGTAGACAGTTTGAGTTTGGTGGATAGATTACTTAAGTTGTTTGCGCTTTTATATTTTAAAAATGCAGTTGAGTTAAAATTCAGCTGTTTCAATTTGTCAAACTCAGTTTGAAATTTGAGTAAAAAGTTAAGTTTGTTTCGAGAAATCGGGGCCTGGCCTCCAACTTACTTAGTCTATTATCTTCTGAGCACACATTTTCGATGAATGACCGACTTGTCTCCTTCATTGAGTCAACAAAGAAATTGAATGAAGGGTCAAAGTCATTGTCATCCAGACAGGACTTAAACATGGTGATGTCACTGCAAACGTCATCCATGTTTGTTGTTCTGAGCCGTAGTCCGATAGCCATACAAGTCTCCAGAGCTGCATGTTTGTAGTTGTAGGCGGCTAGAGTGGTTGTCACATTATCGAACACTGCACACTAGACCGGGTTTCAATGAGTTGGAACACTTCTTGGTAGGGTCCACAACCAGGCTGAGATTCCACACAACGCAAGAACTCTTCCCTAAAATGAGAAACCAAATTCTTTATGAATGATGAATACAAAATTGGGATACGAGGACATATGTCATCCAAGTCAGTGAGCCTGACCACCCGATCCTGGTCAGGATCCAGCTGCACAAAATTATCTTAGTGAAATAAATATTGTAACTCTTAAAGAGTGAGTGAATGAGTGAGTTGGGTTTAATGCTGAGGGGGGACACCAGAAATGTTCTCCAAACATTGTACTCATTTGGGGATTTGAACCAAAGCCTTCGGATTGACGAGCCAACTCTTTAACCACTAGGCTATTCCACATCCCCAAATACCAATGAAGAAAAGACTGTTGCAGTTTACAATGCTGTAAATATGATGCATATTTTCCTGCACTGCCCCCATTCTCATGCTGACTTAGGACTCCTTTGTGCAACTGGGGTCAAAACTGCATCATCTGGGGTATAGAGGGAGCTATCAATACAAAGGGGAGACAATCATGGCATCAATGACTTACGAGCACACTGGATCTGTGCAGACGCTGGAGAGGTCAGAAGGACATGGTGGCGGACTGGGGCAGATGCTGCCAGGGTCCAGGTTGTAGCAGCTGCTCATGTTCAGCTTGTCTGTCAAACTTGACAGTGCCGCCTCAACAGTAGTTTCATCACCTCCAGTACAGTTGGAATTCATGCGCAGACAGGTAACAGCTGTCTGTATCTCACTGCAACATTTAACAGACAAATGCAATGTCAAGCATCTATCAAATACCTCTGAAATCTGATCCAATGGCAAATAAGTGTTATAGTTACAGGGAGGTTTTAAATATTAGCTAAAATCTAGAGTGACTGTATTATCCAACACCAGGAATTACAGTGTTCAAAAACACATTTCAAGGACAATTTTGATTCAGGAGATTATACAGGTGAATGTAGACTTCACAATGCAAAGACATTAATTCAAGCAATCCCAACATTTTTCCAACACTATTCCACACTAAATATAGCATCACAATGCTTTACAAATCATTGTGACATCACAGGTATTACACACAAGATGACATCACTAATCCCCATTGAAGCTGACTGGTACACTTCTCACACTCAAGATACATGTGTGGTTGCTATCACATAAAGAAGGCAGAATGGTTTCAGATGACGTATAGAATCTTACCCTCAGGTCTACTGACACAAGTTAATACCAACACTCCATGGGTCTTAAAGCCCCTCAGCCAGCCCAAGTTTTCAATTCTTATCAACAAGTACTGATATCACAAGAAATCCTCTATTCCCACTGGAATGTCCATGGGTATCAGGGAGCTGTGCGAGGTCACAGCGACCTACCTGCAGGATGATGTGCAAGAAGGTCACAGCGACCTACCTGCAGGATGATGTGTGAGAAGATCACAGTGACCTACCTGCAGGATGATGTGTGAGAAGGTCACAACGACCTACCTGCAGGATTATGTGTGAGAAGGTCACAGTGACCTACTTGCAAGATGACGTGTGAGGTCACAGCAACCTACCTGCAGGATGTTGTGTGAGAAGATCACAGTGACCTACCTGCAGGATGAAGTGTGAGAAGGTCACAGCGACCTACTTGCAGGATGATGTGTGAGAAGGTCACAGCGACCTACCTGCAGGATTATGTGTGAAAAGGTCACAGCGACCTACTTGCAGGATGATGTGTAAGAAGGTCACAGCGACCTACCTGCAGGATGATGTGCTGTTATCCAGGAGCAGCTGAGCATCCTGTGCACATGCCTGCACAGCTGTGACGTTGCAGGAGCACATAGCTGTTCTGGCTGCTGCTGCATCTGCAAAACCTGGAACATCAAAGTAGAACACAGATCAGTTTCTGGCAAGGACAACAACTGTTGCTACAAATGCAATTACTTAGTGTGGTCTTTCATACATCACAATTTGGGTAGCTGGTGTATAACAGATCATTTGATTGGATTTATCCATGATTCTAAACTAAGTTCACTTGGCAGAGGAAATGTGAAGAAATATTATTTTGTTCAAAATTGGGATTTGTTTTTGAAAGGTCTTACTTTAATAAATTCAGAGATATGTTAATATCAAATTTCAACATTTCATTCCATGCAATA